GACTTAGGCCTCTAACTAGCCTTTGGTTTTTGCTTTTTGTTAGACCCAAGAGGGACTCACTTATGGGAGTTCATCCGTGACATCCTCCTGAGTCCAGACAAAAACCCAGGGCTAATCAAGTGGGAAGACCGCTCAGAAGGTGTCTTCAGGTTCCTGAAGTCGGAGGCTGTGGCTCAGCTGTGGGGCAAAAAGAAAAACAACAGTAGCATGACCTACGAGAAGCTCAGCCGGGCCATGAGGTAATCAACTTCACATTTCCCCAAATAGCAAGGCCCCAGGACCAGGAAAGCCCCCAGCATTTGGTTCAAATGCTTACCTTATGCATTTCCTTTCTTACAGATATTACTACAAACGAGAGATCCTGGAACGTGTGGATGGGCGACGGCTGGTCTATAAATTTGGGAAAAATGCTCGTGGATGGAGAGAAAATGAGAACTGAAGCTACCAACCTTTGGAACACAAACCAAAACACACAGCGAATGGATAACGATTGATGAAGAACTCCTGGGCGTAAATATTTCAAAGACTACTTTTCTCTGATATTTATGTACCATGAAGGGACAAAAAAGAAAATCTACTTCTGATGGGAAGAAGGAACACTACAGTTGATAAAAAAATTATTTTGTTACTTTGAAGTATGTCCTGTATGGGGAACAAATGTACACAGTTTTCTGTGAACTATGAAGCTGTACGTGGTTGTGATTTGCTTTGGCCTCTGTTGTGAAGTTCTTTCCCACCACAAGAAAAACAAGGGCTTGTAGCCTCAAGCTTCTGGTTAAGAAGAAGGGAGGAGAAATAAGAGGGCATTAAATGTTTTCATATGCAAAGTGATTTAGAAAAAGGTGATGTGTTTTCCCCACATAAGCATCTACAGGACCTCCTCAAGAGAAGCGGCATGGCTGATAAGATGAATTTGGGGTCTCTGATCCATGGGATGGGCCAATTGGAAGCATGCTACGATGTGTAACCTGACTTAGGAGACAGTGAATGGAGCATGGGAACTTCCACAATCCCAGGTGGCCTGTAATCACCATGTGATCACATGACTGGAATGTTTAAATCAGTGAGAGTAATGGTAGGGGGCTTTATACTCATTCACAAATGATTTCTCTGTCCGCCCCCCCGCCATGGTTGGTTAAAAAAATCATTCACTGCATGTGATCACATTAGCTATTTATACAGAGTTTGACCTTGATTATTTTTTTTCCTGTTAAAAAATAAGTGGGGAAGAAAGAGGCAGCAGTACAGGAGTGGAGCTGGTTCCTGCATCTCTGGAGTTCAAGGTTTCTCAGTGAGCATGGATGACATCTTTGCTGGGTCATTCTTTGTGGTGATGGTTGTACCGTGCATGTGTAGCAATATCCATGATCTATACAGCAGCACCCCATTGACTGTGACAATTCAAAGTGCTCCTTAGACGTTGTCAAATGTCCCCTGGAGGACAACAATGCCTTTGATTGAGAACCACTAATTTAGCCTGTCAAGATGAAGGTGGTGATTTAGTGTCAGAACAAAGATCACAGGGTCTTCTAGTCCCTAGAACAAAGCAAAAGCAAGACGTGGAAGCCGACATATTAGGGACAAAAGGTTGAGCTATCCAGAGGAGACAGGTAGATGGACGAGATGAAAGCCAGGGTCAGAAAAACACAGTGGTGGAGTGAGAGTTGCAAGAGATGTTTACACTGGTTACAAAGTGAAAACTATATTGTAGAAGGAAATGCTGAAAGAAGAATCTTTGTGTGCATGTGTGCGTGTGTGTGTATGTATGTGTGTGTGTGTATGTGTGTGTATGTGTGTATGTGTGTGTATGTGTGTATATGTATGTGTGTGTATGTGTGTGTATGTATGTGTGTGTGTATGTGTGTGTGTATGTGTGTGTGTGTATGTGTGTGTATGTGTGTGTGTGTGTGTGTGTGTACAGCGGCTGGGAGGTCTCCAAGGAAAATCATCTGTGCTCATATTAAGTCTTCCCTCTTGGGGAACGTCTCTTTTCTTATTTCATCTGAACTCATCTCAAGGTGAACCGTTCATTACTTCCACTTGCATTCAGAGGCAAGCTTTTAAAAAAGAAGGAAGGATGAAAAGGTCAAACAGAAGAAGGAAGCGCTCAGGAGCGAAGAGTTGAAAGATCATTCCTCAGTCAGCATTGTTCTAAAATCCCTGAAATCTCAGCCCTGGGCTCACTGGTAGGAATGCAAGTGCAGACTCTTTGAAAATGGGTGTGGACATCCAGTTCCCTATTTCCAAATGTTCTTTTCTCTTCTGTCCTTGGCCTTCTCTCCCTTCCTGCCCCGTCTATCTGGAGCAATGATGTGGGAGGACTTTTCCTCTCCCATAGAGCCCCTAGCACTGTATCTTATTCTGGGAGGCAAACAATGCTCAAAGATTTCTAAGTGGTTGCAATGTATTCAGAGGGCTGGAGATAGGAAGAATTCAGAATTCATCCTAACTACAATGAAGATTACTTGGTTGGTGACTGTGGAGCACCCACGAATGACCTTTGAAAGGATCACCAAGTTTATTTCCTTTCTTTCTGACTTGATCAGCTCTACAAAAGTTTTACACGAGGCTGTCAGATGACAGTTACTGAAGAAGTTGAGAAAAAGAACCATGTCAACAAAGGTCTTGCCTGAAATGCAGATATTCTTACAGAAAAGATAAGCTCTTTAAGAACCACAGGGCCTTTTCAGGATCTGAGTCTGTATTACACAGAATGAAACAGACGTGCAGTATTTGAAGTGGTATCACTTATAAGTGTGAATGTGTGTGTGTGTGTGTGTGTGTGTGTGTGTGTGTGTGTGTGAGACGTATGAAGTTACGAGGGGCATCTGCCATTTTCTCTCCCCTAGTCCTTCCCTGGCTTTCCCTGTCTGTTGTCCAGGGTGACCAGGTTTTTCTCTGAGTTCATCCTTCTTCAAACCTGTGAGTTTCTCTTATTCCAATCACTAGCTCTGACTCTTTCTGCAACTTTTCCATTGCACAGCTATCTTTCCAAGCGAGTTGGTGTATCTGGAGAGGACCAGTGAGAACAGTTCTGCAGATATGCAGTAGATTGTACTGTTTGTTGAAAGTGACAGATTTTTGGCATCCACTCGCCTGTTTAAATAGGCTGGAGTATACATTCTTGGTATATCTATTGTCTTGGCTTGGATTTGCTGCATTTTCTATGTGCTCTTCGTGACTTGGAGAACTTGGGGTATGCCAACTTGAGGTATAAACAGAGTACTTCTCACCACAGTGTTGGAAGAGAGAAGAAAGTCCTACAGAGAAGCCCTCCTTTCTTTTGGGGGCACAGTTTCTTACTTGATAAATTCATCTGTGATTGATTGGCCACAGGATCACTAAATATACTCTCCTTGAATATTCCTTGATGGCTTCTTGGTGGATTTCCACAGGAACCTAAGTCAGGTAATGGACCATTAAGACTTTACAAGACTCAGATCATCTGAGACTCCTATATGACTTGATAAAATTAAGGAAGGCCCTGGATCCCAGGGACAGGTCCACAGTTTCTTCAGCATGCTGCCTGAGCAGGGCAGACCTAGGTCATGAGTTATATACACTGGGCCCTCTAGTTTCTGTCTGATTAGACTGTAAGCTCTTTGAGGGCAGGGACCACATCTTATCACTTTTGTTATTCACATACCTGGCATGCAACAGGTACAGGGTAACTATTTGCTGAATTAATGATTGACTAGCTCATTCATCTGGGTCATGCCTCTGATTGGGCAGCCATATTCATAACTGGAATATGAATCAAGCCAAATCTTCTAGGACATATCCTCCTGTACAAACATTTTACTGTGATACTCTTCTTTCCCTTCCTACCTGGGCCGAAAAGAAACTAAAATAGGCTGTTTGGTTCCACATGTCAATGTCTGCTGGATGAGAATTATATTGCCTTACTTAGAACTGTGAGACTTAACCTGGTTACAAGATGCCAGTAATAAACCCTTGACCTATTTAATCAATGAAGATTATAAATGTGTTTATATGATGTCAATTGCTATTTAAGCAGAAAACTGTTCTCAGTTTTAGTATTTGGGGGTTGGTTTTTATTTTATTTTTTTCCTTTTTGAAAAACACAGAGGGATCTTTTGATAAGGTTAGTTCATGCATATTAGATTTAATTTTGCAAGTGTGTTGTGTTTTAAGATGTATAAACTCTAAGAAAAGGGTAAGCAGTACAGGGGAGAACTGCTACATTATTCTTTTATAGTTTAAATAAAGCATCTATTAAATGCCTATGTGCACAGTGGGGCACTGTATTTGCAGGGAGTATGTGTAATGATGGAGGCTGTAAAAGACACATGAGCAGGACCTACTGTAGGAGTACAGACTGCATGAATGAAAAACTGTCTCAGCAACCAGAGTGTCACAAAGGAATACCCTTGGCTTTGATTCTCAAGATTCAGTTTCTGGAATAAGAAAGACCATTTGAAAAAGGAAACAACAAACTTCTTGGAGCTGTCTCTTCGAAACTTTTGAAACTTGCAGACTTTCACAAGTGTAACTAAATTGGGATTAATCATTCTGTAGCTCACTGCATAAATTTTGTTTTTCTTGCCATCTGGCGTCTGGGTTGACAATTGGTGGGAAACAGCCCTTCTGCCACTGTTGTTTTAAAAATAATCGAACTCTTTCCCCTTAAACTATGTTAAATTCAAACTATTTCTGTTTTATGAAAGAATTATATTTTTCAAAGTATGTTTTTGTTTGTTTGTCTGTTTGATGGGTCCCAGAAAACACTAATAAAAATCACAGAGGCCATTCTGGAGACGTGTGTTCCCTTCTTTGATAAGCCATCCAAAACTGGAAACGCATTTTGTGGGTAGGAACAGAACACACAGTTTCTGCATTTGGTTACCAGTCAATATTCTTTAAAAAAGATGGATTTATTTTGTGTGTCTGCTTGTCTGTATGTACACCACGTGTATATAAGTGCTCTCAGAGACCAGAAGAGGGTGTTAGATTCATTGCAACTGGAATTACAGGTGACTATGCGCTCCCCAGTGTGGGTGCTGGGTGGGACCTGAACCAGGTCCTCTAGAAAAGCAGTAAGTGCTCTTAACTGCTGAGCCACCTCTTCAGCTCCTACCAGTAAACATTTGTCAGCCATCTCTTCTGTGCCAGGCATGGAGAAGAACCAGTCAAAGATACTTAGTTTATGACTTATCAGGTGGAAATAGGTAAGAGAAAATCCACAAACTGAGCATAGCATGTCCGATATGCGAACCAAGGAAAAGGACCGGAGAGGACTAGAACTGGTGTGGATATATTGCAAGTTTAGGTAGAGCTGTGAAGAAAATGTTTCAGTAAAGGGCTAATGGTTGTAAGGGAAGAAGCCTTGCTCATAACTGGAAGAGTCTTCTATATCAGAGTTGCCAGCAAATGAAAAGGTCTAGAGGGGGGCGTGCTGTTGTCACGTCGAAAGAACAACAAGGAAGTCTATTTGCAGAAGCAGATTAGCTGTGGTAGAACATGATGAAAGACAAGCGCTGGCAGACCCGATCGCAGCGTGCTTGGAGGTGCTTATGAAGGCTCTCATCTTGCTTGCATGGGAAGAAGGGTAGAAGAATAAGACACTCCAACTCCTTGTTCAAATGGTGATTGTGCTGAGAACAAACTGTAGGAAGGCTTTTGAAGCTGGGTGTAGATTTTTAGTAAAGGTAAGCAAGGGGTGGCAGCAAAGCTTGCTCTCATCTAATTTCCAATATAGTGCTTACAAATGTTTTCAATAACTGAGCTCTGCTAGGTTATAACACTTTTACCCCCTGGGCTGACAGTCTGTCACTCAGTCACCTAATGACACATTTATAAAGAAAAGTAATAACAACTAATGGATTGGGGGGGAAGAACTGTGATCTATTATTACCCATGTTACTGTATTTAATCCTCTTGCAAGCTGGTGATAAATTATTATTTTTTTTTTGAGACAGGGTCTCCCATAGAATCAGCTGGCCCTGGAGCTTATTATGTAGACCAGACTGGCCTTGATCTCACAGAGATATGCCTGCCTCTGCCTCCTCAGTGCTGAGATTAAAGGTGTGCACCACCATGCCTGGAAAATTAATTAATTTTTGTTGAGTGAAATGAAGGGAAGAAAGGTTAGCTGACTTTCTAATGACACACTATCAAGCAATGACTAGTAGGTCTGGCATCCTTTATCTAGGTTCCCCTCTCTCTGCTACCAAAGTCCAAACCCTTGCCCTAATATTTCTTTAAGTCCCTACCATGCCAATGTTACATACATATGCACACACGCATGTGCACACAGGACTCTATCAAGTATGCTGGAAATTCTACATTAAACTTTGTTTTCTAGAGTTGTACGCTATGGAGTCTTTATTGTCTTGGTATACATTGTGAAACTGTAAGAGAAAGAAAAGGCATGGCAATTTTCCAAGCTCATTTGGGATGGACCCTTCCATCAAAGAAAACCTCATGACTCATCTTTGAACACATTTAGTGAAATAATGATCTTTAGAGAGAGTTTCTGAGATGCCATTTTCATGATTAGGCCAAATAAGTATGCTGACATATTCCTGCATATCAAGTTCAGCCAACTTTAAATACATTCCCATTCTCTGTCTCTTCTTTAGCAGAAACTTCTCACTGACAGACCTGTGCATTATTTATTTGTGTGAATACATTTCAGTAATTTCTCAGTAATCAGAAAGAACTTGCATAGTGACTGTTTGGAAAGAAATGAACCATCCTGAATGTCAACTGTAGGAATTACCTACCTAAAACTACAGACACTAGCCACATGTGACTATTTATGTTTATTTTAGTTAA